CAGATGCCACTCAATATATTTTAATATTGTAGAACAGGAACTGGGGTCCAAATCCATCCCACCCCCTGGGCCTCTGTTTGACTCTTGGGACTTCCCCTAAGAGACACACCCTCCTGAGATAAACTCTTCACACCTGCCCTGCTTTGCACTTTCTCCCTTGAGAGGCTAGACAGGGATATGTATACAAAGGTAAAATTTACATTTGTTGCCCAGCTCACTTTTCCCTATAGCCTCTCCCATCATCAGCATGCGGTCCCTGTAAGATTCCCCAGAAAAGAAAGTGGCCTTGGGCCAAGAAGGGTTTCCTACCCATCATAGAAGGAAGGTTTTGGCGCCTACTCCTTCCTGTCTTCCTCTTCTTGCCCTTTGCTTCCTTTATCCACCTGTATTAACCCACAAGCTAGTTCTATCCAGTATTAACAGGGCTGGGGAAAAATCAGAAGAAGAGAATTTCCCCATAAATTTATTTCTGGGGGAACGACTCTTCTCTGAATTGTTGGAGAACCCACCCACACCAAAAACAATTCAGCAAAATGGCTCCTCCAATGTCAGTGCTCACAAATAAGGTGGATAATTTTGGGAGGCCATCTTTTGCTCAGCTCTTTCAGTTGGTGAAGGGCAGTCTTGGGTTAAGGGTCTTTCCAAAGGCAGAAGCTGAGGGGGGATTTCAAGCGGGCATTCCCAGACTGTGGTTGGCTGACTACTAGTGGACCATGAGCTTCATTCAGGTGGTCCTTGGTGTGTCTGTGGCTTTGTAGGTGAAGACAGGAGTCAGTACACCCGTCACCCATTCATACTGATTTTTATTTGTATTTTTATAGCTTCTTTTCTTTCTTATATTGTATTTTATTGCATTACAGTTTGAATTCTGATGAACTCACAGAGCACGCTTGGCAGCATGAATTACAATTGCCACAACAAGCGGAAAAATCATTAAGTGGTATGCCAAGACCCTAAACAACAGTGGTTTATTGGGGGGAATTTGGGAACTGCATTTAAAGGATGAGGCTCCACAGATGTCCTGTGAAGGAGTCCAATAAATAATGGGCAGGAAGAATTATAGCAGATCTGAGGGTAGCTGTCAGCACAATCCTGTACATCAGGGTGTCTTCCTCCAGATGTTGATGGACTCCAACTCCCATCAGCCTCTGAGCCAGCATAGCCAATGGCCAGGGATGCTGGGAGTTGTAGTCCCCCAATATCTGGAGGGCACCAGGTTCTGCACTCTTGCTGCATGTTTACTTGGAAGTAAGCCCCACTGTGGCACGGGATCGCAGGCCATGGGTGGAAAGGCCAGGGGTCATGCATGCAGGTCAGTGATCTAATGGGGAGGAAAGGAAGGAAGGAAGGAAGGAAGGAAGGAAGGAAGGGGCAAGTCTGAAAGGGAAGCACAAGGAGGCTGTGCTGGGGCACCAGCAGGCGGATTGTGGGAAGGATCAGGTTCAACCTTAATAAAACCACAGAGACATGATCTAGATGAGCGGCGGTGGCTCTTCTTTTTCAGAGCTTGGTACAGAATTTCTCCATGCTGCTGGATGAGGTTTTACTGCCCCAGCTCAGCTGCTCTCCTCTCGCAATTTATGAATTACTCGGCACAAATGCCAACTGTTCCTGATGCCATTTCACTCATAGAGGGAGGGATGAGGGAGAAGCAATTGCATTAATTCATCACTAAAAACAGGGTCTGAAAGAGATCTGTTCCAGAGCTGGAATCTGCCTGGCACACACACACACACACACACACACACGCACACCCACACCCACCCCACTATCTATTCATCCATTTGTATCTCCTTCCTTGCCTATTATTTTTGTATGATGTACATGCAGACCACTCCTCTCAAAGTTTACTCGGAAGCAAGATCCTACTGCTTTCAATGGGTCTTGCTCTCAAGGGTGTGTGCACAGGATTGCAGACAGGTGGGACCTGCAGCAAAACGTACTGCAGAGCCTCGTACCTCTGCTCAGGGCTCCAGCCAGCCTCTTCCGGGATACACCATTCTATCCTCAGCCAGCCTGCTCTAGGATGCTCTATTCCATTCCATTCCATCTCCCCCTCCTGCAACAACCAGTTAGTAATCAGGGTTCGATGAGCGTGTTCAGTCCCCACTGAGCTGCTTGCATGGGGTGGGGGGTTGTCCCCTCTTAGGATTTTCCTTCCCTCTAATGCTTTTTGGACTTCTGCAAATCTTGGAGTTTCCCCTGAGTCTGCTGCTCTCTCCCTTTTGCAGGTGGATTGTACAGTTTCAGATGCATATTGAACGCACACGGTATGTGTGGAAATGATTATAATCCAAAGTGTCACATTGCTCCACTGGCGTTATGGACCACTTCCATTAAATCCCCCTAGATACCCAGCGGATCACTGTGCTCTTCAGTAGAGGGCCTCCTGCAGCCACCATCTTATCAGGAGATCTGCTCCTCACAATATGGGAATTGGGTCCCCTGGAATTCCTTCCCATTAGACAGGCACCAACTCTGTGCTCTTACCAGTGCCTGCTGAAGACCTTTCTCTTTCAAGCGGAGATCTTATGCAGTCTGCATCTGTAATGGAATTGTTTTTAAGATGCTTTAATTACAGTGGTACCCCAGGTTACATACGCTTCAGGTTACATGCGCTTCAGGTTACAGATTCCGCTAACCCAGAAATAGTACCTCGGGTTAAGAACTTTGCTTCAGGATGAGAACAGAAATTATGGTCCGGTGGCACGGAGGCAGCAGGACACCCCATGAGCTAAAGTGGTGCTTCAGGTGAAGAACAGTTTCAGGTTAAGAACGGACCTCCGGAACGAATTAAGTACTTACCCCAAGGTACCACTGTATTATTATTTTGCTTGTTTGCTGCCTGGCCAGGACCTTAAAAAACTCCTCCATTTCTCCTTCTCCTTCTCCTCCTCCTCCTCCTCCTCCTCCTCCTCCTCCTCCTCCTCCTCCTCCTCCTCTTCCTCTTCCTCCTCTTCCTTCTCTGCCAGGAGAAGACCTCAAAGGTCTCATTGTGCCAAGGATGCCAATCCCAACTGCTGCAAAGCTTTCTAGGCCAGTTCAGTCTTCTTTTCTTTTTATCAAGTAGGGCTTTTTATCAAGACGGGATATTTACCAATCAGGGAACCATCAGTGCTTGGGAGGCAGAGCACCTGCTGTGCAAGCAGAAATTCTCGAATTCAGTCCCTGGCATTTGTGGTTAAAAGAATCCTGGGTAGCAGGTGAAAGGCCACATCAGGAGACCATGGAGAGCTCTTGCCAGTCCAAGCAGACAATACTGGACTAGACAGACCAGGCTTTCTCTTTTTCAAGAAGTGAAAATCCGGACACAAACAAATAGTTGACCTTTTTTCGGGGGGGGTGTTGTTTTTGGGAAAAAATGCAAAACCCCCACAATTTTAGGAACATCACTTCCACCATTTAGGACGTCACTTCCGCCATTGAAATCCCTGTACCTGGTAATGTCTGGGGAAATCCGCATGTATGGCAACCCGAACATAGACCATGAGACTGACTCTTCGTGAGGCAGCTTTGAACATTCAGCACTTTCTCTGCTAAGCTAAATCTCCATGTCCGTAATTCTTTTGGTTGTGCGCAGTACACAACACTGTGAATGCCAACAAGGAAGAAGTGGCTAGAATCCCCTGTGTGACAGAGATGCCACCCCCTCACAAAAAAGGGTTTTTGAACATTTTCTTTCAGCTACTGTGTCCAAAGAGGGTCTTATAATATTACAGGTAGACAGAGGTATGTTGAACTGCCTCATGGTCGATTCCAGAATAAGAACATCAGGATAAATGGATGTGTGGAGGAATGAATGCATTCTTAAGCAAATGAATGAAGACAGATTAAAAACAGGCAAATACAGTGGTACCTCGGGTTAAGTACTTAATTCGTTCCGGAGGTCCGTACTTAACCTGAAACTGTTCTTAACCTGAAGCACCACTTTAGCTAATGGGGTCTCCCGCTGCTGCCGTGCCGCTGGAGCACGATTTGTGTTCTCATCCTGAAGCAAAGTTCTTAACCTGAAGCACTATTTCTGGGTTAGCGGAGTCTGTAACCTGAAGCGTATGTAACCTGAAGCATATGTAACCTGAGGTACCACTGTACTTCTAGACTGAGCAGAGAGTGAGGAAAGCAAACCAAATGAAGCATGGAAAGTCGTGGCAACCCTCTGCTAACAGCCAATATTTTTTCTTGGGTCAACGGACCTGCATAACCTGCTTTTTTGAACTGTAAACCTGGACAGATTTCATAGGGCTGTGTTGATTTTGATATCCCACCACCCACCTTTGTACTGATGGCAAGGCCCTCGGGAGACCTTGGGTCACCCTCGCCTGTCCGAACCTTCTTCTCTTCCCTCCTTTCACCTTTTTTCCCAATTAAATCATCCCGCTTAATTACAATAAAAGGCCAACTGTTTACCCAGCTCGACATAATTAATATTTGCTGCGACCAGGGTTGCGAGCTTGGCTTTGCCAGCAGCCGTGCAGTTTGGGAAGGGATTTGGCTGTATTAGCAGGGGAAGAGACAGCTGTCTCGCTTACTGATACAAGGGCTGGGGGGGGGGGGACGGGCTGGATTAAAAAGAGAGAGCCTGGAATTAGACTTGATGGGGTTGTGCGGGAGAGGAGGGGACATTATCCACACAGACACATCCCAATCACAGGCCTAATTGCAGCATCCATTATTCCTTATTAAAAACCAAAAAAACAAATATTCGGCTAAAAGCTGCAAAAATATCTGTTTTACCTTCCGTTCTCTGTGAACGGACTTCATCTCTTTGCTCTATTGGGACAGATGTATTAACTGAGGTACAAAGTGCTTGGACAGGCCTGCCAGGCTGATGTGAGGAGACACAAGTGACAAAGGCCAGCTTAGGCAGCCATTTTGTCTTGAATCGATCGCGACGGTGAGGACAGCCTCTCTCAGTAGGCTGCTCTGTTAGTCTTGCTCAAGGAGATACGGGTTTGTTTATGGATTGCATTTTTATCCCACTTTTTCTCCAGCAAGCTGTGTGCCTGAGTAGGGATTTGAACCCTGGTCTCCTGGTCAGATACTCTAACCATTGTGCCACACTGGCTCTCATTGGGCAAACAAGCCTATTGTTCAACAAGGCCTACTGCTTTAACAAGGTCTGTGGTTCAGTGTCGCAAGGCTGTTAGGACTTGAATTAAGAAGAGTCCTACTGGATCAGGCCAGATCTCTTCCCTGAACTTGTTCTCCCAGCTGGCCTTCCAGAAACCTCCGTGGAGCCTGCTAGCAGGACCTGAGTGCAACATCACCCTCTCTTCTGCAGCTCCCAGCAACAGGTGATTTGCAGCAGGTCCTGAACCTAGAAAGGGTAGCACTGTGGTTTAAACCACTGAGCCTCTTGGGCTTGCCAATCAGAAGGTCAGTGGTTCAAATCCCAGTGATGGAGTGAGCTCCCATTGCTCTGTCACAGCTCCTGCCAACCTAGCATTTTGAAAGCACACCAGTGCAAGTAGATAAATAGGTACCACTGCGGCGGGAAGATAAATGGCATTTCTGTGCGCTCCGTTTTCCGTCACAGTGTCTCGTTGCACCAGAAGCGATTTAGTCCTGCTGGCCACGTGACCCGGAAAGCTGTCTGTGGATGAAAGGTGACTCAGCCTGAAAGCAAGATGAGCGCTGCAACCCCACAGTCACCTTTGACTGGACTTAACCATCCGGGGTCCCTTACCTTTACCTTTTACCTGAACTTAGGACTGGGGATGCAGCTTGTGTGTTGTTGTTGTTTAGTCGTTTAGTCGTGTCCAACTCTTCGTCACCCCATGGACCAGAGCACGCCAGGCACTCCTGTCTTCCACTGCCTCCCGCAGTTTGGTCAGACTCATGTTTGTAGCTTTGAACACTGTCCAACCATCTCATCCTCTGTCATCCCCTTCTCCTTGTGCCCTCCATCTTTCCCAACATCAGGGTCTTTTCCAGGGAGTCTTCTCTTCTCATGAGGTGGCCAAAGTATTGGAGCCTCAGCTTCACGATCTGTCCTTCCAGTGAGCATTCAGGGCTGATTTCCTTAAGAATGGATAGGTTTGATCTTCTTGCAGTCCATGGGACTCTCAAGAGTCTCCTCCAGCACCATAATTCAAAAGCATCAATCAAGCTTGAGTGTTACCCTTCGCCAAAGATGAAACTACATGGAGAGCAGGTCACCAGTCAAGCGAACGCTGCTGCTCCTTGCCTTCCAACCTGACAGGAGCCAAAAGTGATGGAGGGTGTATATCTAGGATTAGAGAATAATGAGCCAGACCAAACAGACCATCCAGCCATTCATTCCAGGATGAGCTCCCTCCCCTTAGGGTGGGCTAGTGTGATGGCCTGGGACTCGGGCTCGGACTCGGAACCAGAGGAGTCTCAGTCCGCACCAGATCCTCTGCCTCAGGTGGCATCGGAACCAAGTCTGGGGCCTGATTCTGAAGAGCACAGGTTCCCCTGCAACAAGCACCAGCCGGGCTGAGTCAGAGGCCTGAGCCTGCCCTGGCTCCAGATATGGGGATTACCTTGTTGCCTCCAGCTGGGCCATCACTTACAGCTGCTCCACTACTGGCTGGGTCAGGAGAGGCTGAGGTGGCCTCTGGGTCTAGTAACCCACCAACGTCTCCCGAGCTGCAAAGACTAAGGTCTGAGAGAAGGAGAGACCTGAGTACTTGCAGGAGTGCTCGCCTTCGGGCAAGACAGGGAGGTAAGTCACCAAGGGATCAGGACCGGCCGTTACCCAACAGAGATAAAAAGCTGTTGGACTCCGCCCCAGGTTGCAGAAGCAACATTGCTGTTTGCTAGAACCTGCCTGTGACCCTATGCCTACCTAGCCTGGTTTCCTGCCTTGACCCTGTCGGACTGACTCTTCGCGGAACCCTTGGATTTGGGACTGGACCTGGACCACATTGTGTGGGTTTACCCCTCGGCCCAGCGCAGCTAGGTTGCTGCTATCATCCTGCTGTAGAGGATTTTACCAATCCATACCTCAGTTGTGGTAAAATGTGCGATAAAGCCTGTCATCTGTGTGAGCTCAGTGTCATAAATGGAATGAGGGGATATGAGTCTGACTGGCTACGAGGACCACCGTGGTGTGTGTGCTTTGTACAGAGTGCTGCTTGGGGTGCGGGGACCACATACTCGACAAGCCGCGCTGTATACAAATCAGCATAGATTCCATGTTTGTGGCAATCGCTTCCCACACTTCCCCTTCTCAGAGGTTTGTCTCTGTCACTAAGACGATTTCCCCTGACACGCCATCTCCTCCCAGTGCCGGCTTCCTTTGTGGGTTCACCAGACATAATCCTGCGTCCCATCACAGCCATTTCCCGCCATAACCCACCGGGATGTCACACAGGATTATGACTATGCAGAGAGCAAGGAGGGAGAATTCCACTATAAGACTAATCCTCTAGCTTCTTCCATGGAACGATGTTAAGGTTATTCCCACCAGCATTAATGAGGCTGGGAAATATGATTATCTCCCCATTAAAGTGGAAGGAAACTGAGGCAGCACGAGACTGATGGATGTATTATCCACATGCTCTCCGGATGTAAATGGTAAGTCTGGAAGTAGAATTGTGGTATTTGTGTGCCCCCAACATTACAATTAATATTTGATCCTAAGTTCCTGCCTTCCCTAGAGGAGTGATTCCCAAATATACAGATTTCAGCAAACACTGTAGGTTCAGTTTTGTGCTTAGTGGGGTTATGTGTGCAAGGAACAAAGTCTGCTTGCACAATGAAACTCTTCCCCCCTGCTAACCCATATGCCTGCCAAACCTATTACAATCACCTCATCATCCAAACCCTCCAGAGCAGAATTTGGAGGGGTGGGGAGAAGTCCTGCTGTGTGTTAGGACCTTGTTCAATGCACAAAACAACTTAGTTAAGCAAGAAACCCCCTTTCCTGGCAAGCAGTAGCTCTGCACACCCTGAATCTCCTTACCATGAAGCTAGTTTGCCCTGGCGGCGGCAGCAACAGAAGGTCTCCTTAGCCAGCAAGGACCTGCCATTTGAATTCCCTGCATTGCCTCTGAGGACTCAAATGCACTGTGTTCTGATGTGTCCACAGTGAGTCTTTTGGTGGCGGCTGGTGCACTCCTGCTTCCTGTTAACGGAAGAGGAGACCCTGTGGGGAAGATGGGATTGTGGGCCCTCTCGTAGGCTTGGGCAACCAGGCCAGTGGTGCTGACCCCTGACATCAGGGCTGCTATCACTGCGTATGTATTGGGGGTACACCTGAAACTGCAGGCACACATTGCCATGGAGATTGGTAGCAGTGGGCACACAGCTAGCCATTAGTGGTTCTCTCATCTAGGTACCCTGATAAGCTTCCGAGGAACTCCAGGGTCTCTAGCAGGTTAGTGGAGATTTGAAGATGACTTACCTGCCAGCAAACTGACCGGTAGCACCTGCACTAGAAAGACCCAGGAATCACCATGAGTGCCATAGGATGTTGTGTTAGGTAAAGGTAAAGGTACCCCTGACCGTTAGGTCCAGTCGCGAATGACTCTGGGGTTGCAGCACTCATCTCGCTCTATAGGCCGAGGGAGCTGGTGTTTGTCCGCAGGCAGCTTCTGGGTCATGTGGCCAGCAGGACTAAGCCGCTTCTGGCGAACCAGAGCAGCGCACGGAAACGCTGTTTACCTTCCCGCCGGAGCGGTACCTATTTATCTACTTGCACTTTGACATGCTTTTGAACTGCTAGGTGGGCAGGAGCAGGGACCAAACAACGGGAGCTCACCCCATTGTGGGGATTTGAACCGCCGACTTTCCGATTGGCAAGCCCTAGGCTCTGTGGTTACATTGCTTTAAAATGCACCACTTTGAAGAGGTTCGGTTTTTTCTTCTAAACAAGAGACTGAGATGATCTGTCCTCCTTTTTCTGATCTTCTTGCCTTTGCCCCTTCTGGTCAGTACAAAACGTGATCATGTCCTCAAGTAAAGCTACTTTCTCCACTTAGTTAATGGATTTTGTTTTGATTTGTTTGTTGCCTGGTTCAGCAGCAGAGGATTTTGCAACACAGGGAGTGTCCCGGTGTGCTTTTTTTTTGAGCACTTTAAAGAATGATTTTGTACGGTGGCTGGGAAGGAAACCTGTCACCCAAATGGGGAAGAAAATGGCAGATTTTTATTTTAACCCACCGAATTCCATTCTCGGCCCTTAGAAAAGGCAAAAAGAGGCTGACATCTCAGGTGGTTATTTGGGATGCTGTTGTTACATTATTACACTTTTCAGCCATGAGGTGTGCACCATTTGGATCATGGTTGGCCCCAGATATTTTCATAGAATCATAGAATTGGAAGAACTCCAAGAGTCATCTAGCTAAACCATCTGTAACACAGGAATCTTTTGGCCAACATGGGGTTCGAACCCACAAACCTGAGAGTCAGAGTCTCATGCTCCACCAGCTGAATCTATCCCATGCCTGAGGTAAAGAACAAGATGATTCCCCTTCATTCCATCCAGAATTTGACTGGACTCTCAGGTCAATGTTACTTCAGCACTGGGGATGGGGCAGCATCCTGCCCTCTACCTGAGGGCAAGTAACCAAACAAATTAACCCCTGTGTTGCAAACAATAGTCAGTAATATCCAAGGCAACACGATGACCAAATACAATGATACAATATCAATATACACTCTTTATATAATATGAAATAGATGAAATCACATAAACAGAAAACTTATGAATCTCTGAAAGTCACAAAATATGCACTCTTAATGGATTATCTTGAAAACATAAAACCAAATGAACATAAGTCTTATAAGTCTCTGAAAGTCTTTGAAGACTATGCAAGTCTCTGAAAGAAGCAATGAATCAGATTCTTATCTGGTGAAAACAGGCTGTAAAGCTTTGTTTATGACGTCCAACGCTGCCGAAGTAGTTCGCAAATAGACGTTGTGAACAGTGATTCCGGATATACCCACTGTTTCGTGGAATTCTTCTTCAGCACAGCAGAAGGATACAGAAATACTTCATAAACCCATCCATATGGTGAATGGAAAAGTATAATAACAATTGCTATGGAGCAGTGATGTATGTAAGTGAGAGTTGGACCATAAAGAAGGCTGATCGCCGAAGAATTGATGCTTTTGAATTATGGTGCTGGAGGAGACTCTTGAGAAGCCCATGGACTGCAAGAAGATTAAACCTATCCATTCTGAAGGAAATCAGTCCTGAGGGCTCACTGGAAGGACAGGTCCTGAAGCTGAGGCTCCAAGACTTTGGCCACCTCATGAGAAGAGAAGACTCCCTGGAAAAGACCCTGATGTTGGGAAAGATGGAGGGCACAAGGAGAAGGGGACGACAGAAGGCAAGATGGTTGGACAGTGTTCTCGAAGCTACAAACATGAGTCTGACCAAACTGTGGGAGGCAGTAGAAAACAGAAGTGCCTGGCGTGCTCTGGTCCATGGGGTCACGAAGAGTCGGACACGACTAAACGACTAAACAACAATGGAGCAGTGGTCATAAAGTTATGTAGTCACACTCTACTCATTTGGATGAGGCACGCCAGGCACCCAAATCTCTTGGACTGCTCCTGCCATATTATTTGAACTGCCTTCCAGAGAAAGAGGGAAAGCCCTGACTTCCATGCCTCACTTTTAGCTGTGAAACCCCTTTCTAAGGTCTCTAGCCCATGCCTCCTTGAAAACACATTCCCAAAGCAGCGCCCTGGTATCATTACCCTGAACCCTTCTTGGATGTTTTGAAAGCTGGAGGATGGACTAGCATCCTTTAGCTTCTTTCTTCTCCCTTTGCTTAACCTCCTTGTGTTTCTGGCCGATTGATTTATGTTTATAGGCCAGTGTGGCCTGGCTGCATTTTAACTGCACACAAACGACAAATGTCCATTAGACACTGTCCCTATTTGGTACTCAGGATATGAGCGGCTACACTCATATATTCACAGGCTTGTGTAACCTATCAGAGGTAGCAGCTGTTAAGTTGCACAGTCCTTGGTTCTTGGGGTGCTTGTGTTGCCTCCACCTGTTGCCATACCTTGCTGGCTCTTTCTGCCTGTTCACAGGAAATATCAGCAGGACTCTGGGACTTAACGGTTCTTGAGAGAGCATTTCACACAGGGAGGTATGCTCCTCTCTCTTGAGTGACAGGTTTGAGTTTCTTGCGCGCACACAAGCAAACATAGACACACACACACTTTCTCCAGAAAGTCTCTGGCTCACTCTGAATCAGCAGCTGACAGTTCAGAATGTTGTCTGCTCTTATAGAGCGAAAGACTTTGTCCCTGTATTTGAGAGGGGATGCCAGGTCAAGACTGTGGGGTGTGAAACACAGAGCAGTCAAATTACAACATTCCTAGAGTGGAAATAAAAAGGGGGTGTCTGGACCAGACAGTCGGAACTTCCTGTTTCCTCCTGGGCTGGGACAGACTTCCTCTGCATGTAACCAGAGGTGGGCGTGGCCTCACCTGTGCAGGTAACAATATAGCACAGAGGAGGCAGTCATATCTCTCTTTGACTCCATTCCTCAAAGAAGCAACATCTGCTTAGTCTGAGATGCTCTCGCCAAGAGAGGACAAAGGAACTATCTCCTTATGGGATGGATTCCAGGTGTATATACTTTGTAACTTAAGTCTGCCTTCTGGGATCCATTTGTGAACTGAATGTGAGTAAACTATTTTACAGTATATACTTTTATACAACACGTGTCATGTCTAACTTTTTATGAGGGACTAAAGGGGAAATTACCAGGAGACTTATTTTAGAAGTTTAAACAAGTCTGGCAAACCTATCCGCTGTACAAGTTTGAAAAGGGGAATGTTACTCTGCTAAATTGTAGAACTTGTTAACACAAGTTGGGAAGGATAGAATTAAACAATATATCCTCTCCTGCCTCCCTGAACATTCCCACAAAGACCAGCCCACACCTACAGAAGGAAGAAGCCACCGCCAAAGAAGATAAAGAAAACTGGCAAAACAAATTAGCAAACTATGCAGGACAAATTAAATAATCGGTTAACCCAAGAAAGAAAGAGGACTTTGATATTTTATTTTTTTAAAAAGGGAACTGTTTAATGCATTTTTTTTAAAGCTTTGTGTATAGATTTTGACATTAGTAGAACTTTTAAAAGTCACTTGTAGTAAGATGAAGAAGGTCTTAAAATTGAACTGTTAAGAATATACGGTTTTATGGACGTGCATGAACAAGCACAAATGGAACCAAGAGGGGGAGTGGAGGGAAGTCAAGCAAAAAATTATGGTTTGAAATTTTGTTTATGATGTTTTTTCTTTTCTTTTTTGTTTTGTTGTTGTTATAAAATTAATAAATTGCTTACCAAAAAACAAAACCCCAGAATGTTGCCTGCTCTGTTCTAAAACTGCTTCAGCAAACCTTGCAAGATCAGGACTTTCCGTATAAATGCAGCAAAAAAAAGCTGGCACAAACATAATCAAGCATCAGTTTCCCTCCGTCACAGACTTGTAGCCCTTGGACTTCCAGCCTTTCACTTGCTCTTGTTTGGGCCCTCTCTAAAGGAGCAGAAAACACTTACAACATGAGAGAGACCATCACTGCTAATGGGTAGTGAAAGCACGCAGAGTGTTTTCATTCTTTTTGGTTCCCTGCTAATTGTCCTTGCCTAGGAGAGTCCCTGCCTGAGCTTGGAAGTAGTATGTGGTGCTTTTAATATGCAGCTCAGTGGGGACTTCTTGCCTATTTTAGCATCTAGAAATGTTTTGCAGACAATGGGGTTGGAAAGCTGATGGACCAGCTCCACCTAGTGAGGGGGAAATGAATAGGAGATCCTGACTGTGGGAATTATTCCATAATATATTATGGCTTAGTAAATTTTAACAATTCTGCACTTTATGGATACCACTAAGCACAGTATTCCGTAGATGCAAGTAGGAGTGATTATACTTTGCATGAATTCTTCTTACTGTTGCCTCTGACATTCCTGTTCATTGCCATTTGCCATGGATTTTCCCACCCTGCCCAAACTTTCTCCTTTTTCCAGCTTCACTGTCTCCAGGACTGGACCAAGGGGATCATTTTTATAACCTCAGAAGCGAATGAACCGGTTGTGACTCTCCTCCGTGACTCATTTGTATGCAAGTTTAGTCACTTGTTACACTTTGGTTATCACCAGGAACCTGGGAGATCTCGACGGCATTATCATTTTGACTGGTACGATTTCATTAAAATGCAAATTTAATTGCCCTGCACACAGAGAAATACCACAGAGATTATCCTAAGGCCAATTAATTGCCCAAAGCTGCTGCAAAATCTTTTTGTGTGTGCTGGTCCAATTTTTGCTTCAGATACCCGAGTAATTCCCACCCCCGAAACTGTTTCCACATTACCACTTGACTGGTGCTATTTATAGGCTTGCCTTTTCTAAGAGCATCACACCAGGGCTGCATTTAATGAGGACCTCTGTTAAGTTGCATGACACTGCTTCAAAGATGCTCTTTTATGCTCCATATACTCACTTTTTTTAATTAAAGAAGAAGAAAGTTGTCGTAGATCTCTAAGCACTTCGTAGATCTCTAAGCATCTATGAGCAAGGTTTTCTGATCTTGCATCTGGGTCTCCATTTATTTCTCAATCATTAGTATTGCTTACCCTTTTTTAACTCACTGGATCTTATGTGCCAGCCCATTCTATTTCATGATTACACAGAGGGATATGTTACTCAAAGCAGATTTTTCTGGGGGTCCTGATGTTGAGCATTTTGTGGGCTCATAAAAGCCTGTAGTGGCAGATCAAAATTCCTGAAATGTATGGCTTATCCACACTTGGTTTGCCCTGCGGCTTTCCCCTGGGGAAACCCAGAGTTTAGTGCTAAATTGGAACTAACACCAACTGCGTTTTCTGTGAATTGCTGTTTGTTCCGATTAGCGCTAAAGAGCAGGTTTTCTGGGGAAATGCAGCAGAGGAAGGGCAAAACTGTTTGGACCCATGGCTACAAAACATGGGGCAAGTGAAAGTGTGGGCGAACCCATTACGAAGCTGGAGGGTGTTGAATTAGTGTAGATGTGAGCTTTCTCTTACATTGAGGTGGGAATCTGCTTGCCCCCACTCATTTGGGAGCTGTAGAGGTTTTTATAAGTTGCTGTAGATCTGTGGGTGCAAAATGCTTGGGTTCAATCAATGTTAGGATTTAATTAGAACTGGTATGTTAGGAGCAGGGAAAGGCAGACCCAAGTGTGTATTGGGGATAGTAAGAGGTGTGGTGGTCCCAATGATAAGCCTCTGTAATTATCACATGTAAAAGCTACTGAAGACGGCACACTTTCTGGGCTGTGTATTAGGACAGTAATCTTCACCAAACGACAAGTGTTAATTGAAAAGACCACTTTCTTTGTGAGGTGACCACCTGGGGGGATTTGAGGTTCAAAGCATTGAAAGGGGAAAGTAGGAATAGGTGTGAAAAGCTAACCCCCTTTGAGATAATGAGCTTTA